ATGGGTGTGTCAATGTCTGTTTTATGGAATTCATGCAAGACAAGGGAGATGACAGAAAAAACAGTGTTTCACTTATCCATCATTGGACAGCCTTCCCTTTTATTAAGCAACAGTCTTTGATTGGTGTGAAAATTGCTAGTTTTCCTCACTACCTAATGAGCAGTACGTTCAGACTAAGCAAAAAATGCCTTGGTCTTAATAAAGTTACACATTCATTAGCTTTTGATGAATGCCTGCAACCCCTCTGCCCTCACCAATAATCTCCTTCAAGTACCTCCAGGCTCTAATCACAATATACTCAGTAATTAAGGTTTTGATTTTAAGTTTTTCTAAAGCAGCCTAGAGACATGTTCTGATTACCAGCTGAGCCTCAGACACAAATGATTTGAGGATTTCCCTTGCTTTCTGAGGGGAATCTGTCAGCAAGTTTCAAGATTTTATGCCATGTGACAAAGATTTCTAATTCATTACTTCTGTTCATAGGCTCACACAGGAGAGTAAAATTTTCTACAGAGCAAATCCAGGTAGTTTATTTTTCAGTATGTCAGTCTTTGTATTTTCGCTTGGATTCTGCAACCCCTAGCAAGGTAGGAATAGAAAAGTAGATGGACAGTTTACTCTAGGAGATGGTATTTAGTACCATTTAGCTTTCACATTACAGATTGACACTGGTTTAGTAATGAATTCCTTCCCACATTGAATAAGGTTTCTCTTATAACTAACACTGGGCAATCAGCTTTGCAGGCATGAAATGTACTTAAAAATACACATACAAGTTAACCTGCATTTCTTATCTCCTCCAAATTTCAAAGCAATTCAGTCAAAAACTGGAAAAATCTTGAATACTCTCTTTTCTATGTAACGTTGACCCTAGGTAAAAGGAAAGGGTTTTAAAAAAAAACAATTAGCGTAACCTAGCCTTCCATGAGAGAATACTATTACTTTGGTATTTTACACTTCGAAGTACATTAGCATTTTGAAGTAGAATCTGCAAAGAGAAAAGCCCCTTGAGAAAATAAAAGAAAAGATGGTTATCATTAAAAGGCACTGACTGCCAAGGAAGTCGGTTAGCTTGCACTGCAAGACTAAGAAGTTCATCTGTAAGTATAATTCACCAGGAAAAGAGGCAAGAGCCAATAGCAAGAAGTGTACTTACTCCTTGAACTGATAAATGTCACTCCTCCTTACTTTAGTCTGTTTGTGATCATCATGTCTTGAATACAGCTTCCAAATCTTTATTTTTAGAAGCAGCATCTTACTGGGTTGCATTACAAACTGCATCATAATCAATGATTATGAAATTCTTCCTACTGAAGCAACAATAGTATAGCAACAAAAAGTCCAGTCTGAAAAAGATAAACTACTAATACCAATCACCTCATGAGAGCAAAAGAGCTATAGAAAGATTAGGAATGGATGGCATGAAAATAGGTTTTATCAAGAAAATTATTTGGTACTCGACACTGGTTTACAACCAGTATTATACTATTTGGTATTCAAATATATCATCATTCAAGTATATTAAACTATTTAATATTCAACACTAACTGCAGTATTACCTCAAGAAATCATCAATGGTCAAGTACTCTGTGCTCCGAAAATATCAGAAAACAGACAACATCAAAGAAGTAATGGGCATTAAAGCGCTGACTGGATCAGTATGTGGCTTTTAATGTGTACAAAGTTCTAGCTGATCTATCAGACAGAACTTGTCCTTGTTGAAGACAGCTTTCATTTTCTCATTAAACTTCAAAAAACAGGTGACTCATACTCAGAAGGTCTCAGATCGCCTAGGCTTTTTCTCAGAGACAAAATTCCAGTAACTCACTGCCTATTCTCCTTTGAACAGCTACCAAAAAAAAAAAAAAAAAAAAAAGAAAAAAAGTGGGGAGAGTGGGGGAAATCAGTCCAAAGACACCATTTCCTAGACAGTAAACCTGCCCAAGCTATCTAGAGAGATGACTCCCCACAGGAGAGGACAGGTTCTGAAACACAGCAGTGGGAGGTCATAGGCACTAAACATAACAGCCATCTGGATATGGTCCTAGGTGACCTGTTCTAGCTGACCCTGCCTGAGGAGGGGCGTTAGACAAGAGAATCTTAAGAAGTCCCTTCCAACCTCCATCGTTCTGCAATTCTGTAACATACATTTCACAAACTCCAAGACCTACATGACTGTTGAGCGGATAGGTCAGAACACATGGTGGTGACCAGCAACACGGCAGAGAATGAACTTATCCTAGCTGGCAGCTGAGAGTAACAAAGGACCTGGTGCGTGCACATGTACTATGCTGGCTGGTGGCGCACAAGTGCCTGCCCTGCTGACAGTATAGAAACAGAACACCTTCGGTAGCTGGACAGTCTTCAGTGAGACCTAATATAAAAAACATTTGAAGAATGAAGGCTGTACAGCTCTAACAAAAATGCACTGGTAGTCACACCTGGGAAAATGGCCACCATAGCTGATGTGGAATTCATTGGGCCACTTTGTTTTCTGTTTAGGCTAGTATGAACAAGAAGGACAGGGAAGAGACAAAGTGAGGGCGATTATGTCATGTAGGCCAAGGAACATACAGCAATTTCCAGAAATCTGAAGTAATCTTTACTCCAAGTGCTTTCTACAAAAGGGTCTTCAAATGAAATGTTTACAGGGGAATGGGTCTCTTCAGAGTAAAATTGAGGCCTCAGATGCAGGGTTTGTGGTGTTTTGTTTTGTTTTTTTTTTTTTCCTTTTTACACTACTGTAGCTGTTTGCAAGTATAGCTATTGCTAACACAACTAAGTGTGCTTTTCCACACAGCAAAGCCATCTGCAAAACTTTTAAGGATGTATCAGAGCATCAATGTTAATGACTACCTTATATATACATACATACGTTCACTACTAACAATGAGATGTTATTTCTGGACCATTAAACTTGGGGGCTCAATCTATACTTACAAGCTCTCTGAAGAATAGATGCCTAAATGCTTTAGCTTATGATATCTATGAACATAAATGAACCAGAACTAATATTTTTATCCAGAAAAAAAGTTACATAACCTAACTCCTGATGAACTAGACCTAGACCTGACCTTCCTGACCTAGAATTACCATTCCTAAAACAAAGAGGGAGCAGCAATAAAGTTAAATTCTGCCCATAAATGAAGATAAGAATTGTATTACTGATAAAAAATACAATCTCTTTTTAAAAACAATGTTTAAATAGGGAAAAAGCTGAATGAACTTTTAAGTACTCACTGTTTTTAAAGTATGAGTACTTTTCTTTGGATTGATGGTTTGAAAATTCATTCGTTGCAAACTGATTTTTAGTATATTCCACATAGTGAAGACTTACTTTGTTACACAGGTAGTCGGAAGTCTTAACATCTAATTAATCTACCAGCCAAAAAGTAGTAGCTTTCAAGAGCAGATCGAATAGTCTTCTCTTAAGAAAACTAGGTGAATATTACAAACTCTTAAAGCGCAGCAGTATTTTCACTAAATCTCCTGTCACAGGATATATTTCTTTTTTTTTCCTTTAGACAATATAATATGTAAAAAAATTACTACTATTAATAGTCACAAAGCTATGTAATTAAGATTGTTCACATATTGCTAACCATACACTTTCCTTTAAAATATAGCATCTACACCCACACAATTTGATATGTTGGGTGAAGCACACTGAAATTTTAATACTCAGAAATGTTAATGTCTCCTACCACCCCCCAGTTATATGAAATCTGTATTTCAAAATCCTGTACAAAAGGATCAACACTATGAGTTCTATTTACCCATTTACAGTTTAAAACCCCATGAGAGGAGGACTCGTTTATATGATAAATGTCCTCCCAGCCAAGAGGTAGAAGGAATTCAGGTTATAAACTATGATGTTTTAAAAAAAATAAACCTTCATAGATATCAAGCATTTAAGACAATGTCACCCTCTTTCTTCTACAGAACCTAGACGGCCAAAAACTCTCATAGGTTAGAATAGCTATTTGCTCAAAAGCTGGCAATCTGAACATCCAAAATAGCTACAGCTAGAGTAAGAGAAAGGGTGGTGTCAGTATTACAGCAGATTATGAAAACAAGAGGCATCAAATGAAGTTTGAAAGTGACACAGTCATAACCTCTGGGAAGTCTGAGATTTTTAACTGAGTAGACATTAGCTTTCTATTTTAATTGTTATGTGCTACATATGTATCAATAGAATGTATTACGTGGCCAATCAGATAAGGAAAAGAGGGGGTTTTCTACAGAAAGAACCAAAAGAAATAATACTTATGGGAACGAAGAGAAAAAAGGGTACCGTCAAGTGCACATTTCAAAACTGCAGTGGACATGCTGGTGCAACTTCAGCAGTAGTAACCACAGGTGGAGGGAAACAGCTAGAAAATAAACCTTCAAAAATAAATTGCTTCCAGGAGTTATCACCAGAGCAACTTGAAGTTCAGGATGGCTCTACTCTGAAAAGTGTAGTGACTGTTTACAAGGGCAGAGCATGTATATTACAGGACAGGGCAAGAAAGATCCCTAAGTACATTTGCAACGCCACCTGAACACAAAACAAATCCAGAAACACAGTTCTTCTTTGTTTACTTGGCCAGAATTCACTGCCAGAAATACATTAAACATTTTTCCAGTCCACACTACTTGCACAAATCCCTACTTTGGTATTTCAATACAAGAAACACCTTTAAGGTTAACAGCTCTTCCTTAGAAAAATACATTTAACTTCAATTTTTACCTTTATCTTGTGAAACATGACACAATTAGAAGTTAGTTATTATTGAAGAATACTTTATAATTGCTAGTTAGACTCTCAGTTGCACCATTATGGAGCATGCACATTTAACCTCTTTAGGGTAGGTTGTAGTATTTACTAAGTCTGTAAAAAACACTAGATAACAAAAAAGCATATAGTAAGAACAAAACAAATAAGAGACACACGAGTTTGCCCTCTGTTCGGAAATAAAACTATGCATCTGAAACTACACTACCTTTCAAGATCTTACCTTCTTTTTGTCCCTCATTGAGCCCTTCCCTCGGACCATTATCTTGCATCCTGTTTCTGCCTCAAGCTGTTTAGCTGTTAGTCCTCTGGGCCCAAGGATTCTTCCAACAAAGTTAAACTGGGGGGGAAAAAAAAAAAAAGATTATTTATTTCTATAAAAGCAAGAAAATTAATTAAAAATTTAACAAGATGTATTTCTGCCTCTAAAATATCATCAAGTGTTTATTAGTTTAGCTCACTATGCTAAACACCTGAGGTTAAAGAATGATAAGTACTATTTTCATACCTTAGACACCTATGTGACCCCAACTTTGGGGGATAAAAACCTTTTTTCACCTGAAAACTGTAAGTTTAACATCTGGTAGTCTAGGGCAGTTGGTAGTCCTAATTTTCTCCTCATTAAGTCGTATGAGCTCTTGCAGATATCACAAACCACCCTCCCTCACCACTAACATGATCAGACACGCTCATTAGTAGGCTAACAGTGTGCATCACATCACGGAAACACGCAGGTTCTGGTTGCATGACCAGACATGCATACAACTTCCATGTGGTGGGACTGATTGGGTGCCAGGTGTAGGTCCAGTCCCATAATGGCACAGGGCCTTCAGGAAAGGCCCCTAGGCTGACTATTCATTTGCTCTCTGCCTACAGCTAAGGAGCCTGCAGAAAACAATCTTTTTCACCCTTCCACACTGTTCTGGTGGACTCGATCTGGACAGCATGCTGCTGGCTGGCCACCCACATTTACAGAAACTCTTCTTTATCTACCCATGCCATAGCATTTCCTTCAGAAATAAACCTAAGGCTTGTTACGTATTCACTTTAGGTTTCACAGGCAACATTTCTGAAAAACATTGTATTTGCCATATATATGTAACATGTGTGTGTGTATATATATGTATGTATATACAGATACACAACAACGGCACATGTAATTTTTTGTAAGTTGCATCCTTTACTCAGTTGTGCATACAAACAGAGCAAGTATTTCATGTTTAGTTGGCTAAAACTTCAGTATCAGCAGACAACCCCCTGCCTACACTTAACACGGTAATACTGCCATTTAGCCAGACATAACATTATTTCCTAGTTATTTTCCAGGGTTTTTTCCCTTTCATTATTTTCAATCACGCATTCTGGAAATTATGACATAAATTAAAAAAGCACTAAGTGAAGGTAGCATTAAGAACATATAGCAGTACTCTGTGACAACTACACTGCAAAGATGAAGCATGAGGCTCAGAGGACACATAAACCTAGAAATTTTAGACTGAAGATTAAATTCAAAGAAGATATTAAGAGAATAGAAACTCTGCAGTAAGGACAGAAGTCTGGATATTTTAGATCCTGGTAAACAAAGCTATTCAATGGTATTATGGAGAAGCTGTTGGCTTTCATTTCCTCAGCTAATTAAAATTGGTTTTGAGCACTACAGCTCAACATATTTGAAATCGTTATAAAACTGAGAAGACCAGAAAGTATTTAGGAGTGAGCAGAAATTATGAACACAAGCAAATTAAAGTTCTTCAACAAAAATAATTGTGTTTCACAATGGCTAAATTGTTCATAGGGAAGGTACACTCCCAAAATTATTTAGTATTCCAAGCTCAAAAAATAAAGATATTATGAAGTCTGAATCAACTGCTGGGGGAAAAAAATAAAGATTAAAGTCACTGGTGAACACATACACAAACTGTGCATCATAGGAAGTTAAGGAAGATTCACTAAGACTGGATAAAGCAATGAACCAGCTACAAGTGATAAAGTTCAGCCCTGAAATATCAAAATCCTGCAAATGCTACTCATTTAATGCTTAATACCAAAATCATACCACTATCTTACATAAACAGCATCTTACATGCCTTTCTCCACAACCAAACTTCTGGCACACCAGGTCTTTATATCTCTCTCTCATTCCACTGTTAAAGTTAAAATAACATTGCAAACCTGACTTTAAACCACTCTTCTAATCAATGCACAAGGTGACTATCATTACATTCTCTCCATCTCCCAAGAAAAACAGCAGCCTCTAGTATTTTATTACTTGCTTCATGATTAAAAGAATAATCAAATTTTAAAATAAGATAATTTGGGTAAAAAAATTAAATAGACCAATCTATGCTACTAAGAAAAAAAAGCAGGAATTTGTATTGCTCTCAAGCTTGCAACTTTATTCATGCAGTCTGAACACTATTTAGAATTGTGGCTTCTAGATGAGAAATTGCTGACTTAAACTGCAACACAATCTATTAAATGTTAAGCCAGTTTCTTTTCCAGCTACTCCCAGAATAAGTCTCCTTATAAAGAGCCTTCATAAATTGTTCTAAGGTAGCTCAACCCCCTGTCTTTTCTTTCCAAACTGTATGCATTAGCATCTTGAACCTTTTTGAATAGGTATTCTTTCCAAAACTCTGAACATTCTTCATACCTCTCTTGGGCCCTCCAATTTGTTCATTTCTTAAAGCAGAATGCCTGGACAAGGCAATACTTCAACAGAGACCTCAACAAGGTTAAATTACTCAGAACACTACATAAATTACATCTTACAAACCACATTCCCGTTGAAACATCCCAGCTTCTTCTTTCCCTCCCCAAAAAATTCAGTTCTTATGTTTGATTCAACATTCATTGAGCCCAGATACTCTTCTCCATTTACCTCTGCCTTGCCAGTTTTTCCCCAGTTTTGCATTCATGTGCAACTTTTATGCCCCTCTACAACAACATATTGCTCTACATTTGTGTAATGAATTCCATATTGTTGACTTCAGGAGCACTAATTTCAAGACAGTTTTGAATTTTAATTCCATCTTTAAAAGCATTTAGTATGACTTAATTGTTTTCTAAGCGTGCTTTCTATCCCACCAATCAAGTTATTCTTGAATGTCTTAGAGATCCAAGCTGAAGGAGAACTCTGCAGGACCCCACCTGAGGCACAGTCTTAATTGAGTTATCAACAATCAATTATCGTAGTTTAAGGCAATTATTGCTTTAACAAATGTTTCCCAAGCTTTTGTACTGATGGATCCCTGTCAATATTCAGTTCCTCAGACTACGCTCTCAAAGTCCTAGCTAAGAGCTCCATAGGAAAAAACAATTCTGACTCTCTTGTGAAGGGACTAGGCAGAGAGAGTAGCAACCAGCAGAGCACAACTCAGGAACACAGCGGAGATTAAGCCCTCTAGCTGGACAGTCTCAAAAGTTTTATCAGAAGCCAGTTTTGTCAGCAGCTACTGCTCCTCTTACACAAACAGAATTATTGGAAGCCAATACAGCTGATAAATTCAAAATACCATTTTTATCACATTCAACTCAAGATTTCTCATGCACTTTGTCCCTTACTCTCACCCAATCACACTCTTCTTCATTGCCTCATGCTTCCCTACAAATAACACACCTGGGTTCAGGAATGCTGTTTGTTCTAACATTTGTACACAGCCAAAGCTAGGAATATTTCCCTGTAATTTCTTACAGCTTTTCTCAGTCTGCGCCTGTCAAATCCTAGAGGATTCACCTTACACCCAGTGAATTGCTAGAAAATAAACAGCAGTGGTTCACAAATCAGTTTGACCAATTTAACCCTGCACTACTTTCAATGTATCCAACCTCACACATGTTGGAATTAGAGAGTATGTTAAAAATCAAGCAGAAGTGACCCATGCTAAACTAACTGTTTCTACATCAACAATACAGAAAAAGCAATCAAATGCTTTATTTTCCTTCACCAAGTTAGTCTTTCCTTCCCCAACAATTAATGTTTCTCTATACTTAATATCTTTTTGTGTGTCTAACATTTTCACTGACAATATTTCACAATTATTTTCCCATTTTCTTAGAAGAGCTGAGCTAAGTTTTATTTTTTGTGTTCTCAAATCTTCCTATACAAACTCCAAATCAGAATTCAAGAAACAACTCCCAGAAGAGCATGTCTGTGACATGCATAAACACAAGAGCATCCTGTGCACCACCTAGAATCCTTTACATTTTAGGAACAATAGAGGGAAACAGAAAGTATACAACACTGACTATATTAAGAAAAAAAACAAGAATTGGAGTATCTAGTGGAGCTCAGGTTCTGAAGGTTTTTTTGCTGAAGCTCCAACCAGTTACAACACGTTGCTCTCCCTCTCCGCCTGTTTTTCCACATCATCACTCCTATTCCCTTAGTTTGCTATCCTTACAAAAGCTTGAAGTTTCCAGCATATACAAAATACTACAGGGTCTTGCTGGTGTGCAAGATGTGTTGCCTTTCTTTGAACAAGGTGCCCAAAATATACACTTAAGAAAAGAGACAGCATATGTTGGGAGAGGATCTCTGTTACTGGAAGTATTTAAGCGGAAACAAACGTACTAGGCAAAAAATTGCTCTAAATCCTAATGTTTGTACCTACTCTGGGATATTAATCTGTAATTAGTAATCTGGGATTACTATGCAGCAAGTGACACTCCCAAGAGCTGACAAAATTTTTGTCTGGTGTCCTACCTAACAAGTCCACTGCATCAGAAATTCCCTGATAAAAACAGCTTGTATTCCCTATGCATAGAACAACTATTTCCCAAGCAGACCAGGTGCTTTTACAGTCCTTCTATGTCACACCACTCCCTACACCCAGAACAAAACTAGTAAAGTAAAATAAGAACAACTGTGCTAAAGACTCAAAGCTGCTGATTAATAAGAGGTTGCAAAGAAGCATGCCTGATTTTTACAGTGTATGGGAAATGCAGTGTTTAAGAAACTTCCCATGCAAGTTAAAATCTGAGGAACTTAAAGAAGTCCAGCAGCACAAATTTTATGCTATTATTGTACCTTTTGTCTTTCGTGGTTTTTCTTTGAAAACTGAAAGTAAGATATGGCAAAATCTAATTTATTTGATAAAAAAAATTCTTTCCTTCATTACTGGAGAATAATTTGAAAAAATCTGATTTGATTAAAATATCCAAATCTAGCAAGAAAGAACATAACCACATGCATTTAGTTAAACAATTATTTTGCTCAATTAAAAACTAATTTATTCTACCATCTTATTAGCAGATGTTCCAATGATTTACTATACATTGAACTTGCAGAGCTTATGACTGGAAAAAAAGCCAAAATAAGCTATTCTTAAAGTCTATTTC